TTATCAATAACAAGATTCATAGCAAAATGGAATTATCAATAGAAATCAGTTTTTGTTATTTATAATCTTATTTTTAATATTCCTATGACACATCTCTATAAATGGATGTAAATACGTGTGCACTTAATTATAAAAGAAGTCTTCTAGCTCCTTCCATATAACCTCTTTTTCTTCCCCCTTCATTCCGTTCTCTTCTTCTTCTAATTGCTAAATCATCTTTTATTATTGATGACAAAAAATGATGAAAAATAATATAGATAATCAAATAGGATAATTTGAAGATTAAAGAGGAGGTGGAAAATGACTTTTTATATTTATTAGATCAATTTAATATTTGTGAGAAATGAGGTAGAAGATAATGTATTTTTATAATAGTTTGGAATATGATTTTTTAGGTCAATCGCAAAGATACTTTTGGGTCTTTACATAACTATTCGGATTATGAATTAATGATAATTAAAAAGTAATGAGTTTTTCCTATAAGACCATGTAGTCCCATATTGATCGAGGAGTATGGGAACCAAGAGCTCATAAGTCCGCTTTACCCTCAAAGGTGCCTTTTGGAGTTCACAAGCTCCAAAAGAGCTCAATCCCCATCGTCCAAAGCGGATAATTCCTCGCCTGTGGGTTGCACCAAGGCCGGTCAAGTGGTCCTTTATAAAAAAAAATCCCTATATTCATAATTTTAAAATAATATATATTTTTTTACTTGATACTTGAAATCCCCCCAATAATTTTTTTTTTCTTTACCTCCCTTTCCTTCATTTTCCAATCGGTTTGGGTGAACCGATCCAATTAGAGTGTTTGACACTATATTACAATGTCTTCAACAATACATGAAAAACACTATAATATAATAAAAAATATAATTATTAAAAATATTATAACATAGTACACAAATATTATATATAATTTTTAATATTTTTATAGTTTGTTACAGTAAATATTATATATTTTTTAGTATTATTATATTATTGTGTTATAGTATTTTCCTAGTGTAGGAAATACTGCAATGTAGTGTAAAAGCATTATAAATATAAAGTTTTTATAAAATTTGTCTAAAAATATTATATTATAGTATTTTTTATAATATATTATAATTTTTTTTAATATTACTAAAATTACTGTAACATATTATAAAAACATTATAACTGGACCTGTCCACCTTATGCATCAATCCCTAAAAAGGGTATTATGAAAAGGGAGTGTTGTTTCCAAAACTTGAAAATAGAGAGTGATACCCACAAAAAAAAAAAATCCAAAAATAGAGATTTTTTTAAATCGCTCTAAACATATATCGATGATTTAATGATTTGATTTACTAAAATTAAGGTTTTCAATTACCCGTTATAATGAATCCTACAGACACTCATTGCAACTCTTATAACTCAATATATGCTCTTTATAGCTAGCTGATAATTAAGATATTGGTCAGGTGATAATAAATCAGACTCATTTATC